ACGACATGTCATGAAAATTACCGCAGTCGAGACATGTGTTAGTCCTTCTGCAGGTCCCAATCGAGCCAATCCAAAGTCCGATAGTTTCGCATTCCACTGCTCGTCTAGAAGAATATTGGACGATTTGAAATCTCTAAAGATAATCTGGACGAGATAATCCACATATTAGTCTTTATTATCGGAACATTTGGTTAAAAAGTTTGACATTTTTATTAAAATAAAAAAGAAAAAGAACCTGAAAATCCATTTCTTCGTGAAGGTAGGCCAAGCCACGAGCAGCATCTAGTGCAATTTTGAGCCTCATCTCCCATGAAAGGGGTGTAGAAATAGATCTAACCGATAAATGATCTTCAACACTGCCATTAGGCATATATTCATATATTAGAAGCCTTTGTATTCCTCTTTCATCGTCCTCAGCACAGTAGCCAATCAGCTTCACGAGATTTGGATGTTCGACAATACCCAGAACATTAACTTCAGTCACCCATTCTTTGTGACCCTGTCGTGTGAATTTAAATTCCGAAAAGAAAATTAATTTTTCATTGACAGAGGCTAGTGAAGTCGATTATTAGCAAAACTCAGAAGCAAATGCTGTATTAAACATGAAAAAAAATACTAAAACATAATATTATCATATGTAATCATGCGAATTGAGGCAAATAAGGTCCCAAGAACAGGTATTCGTCTATTCGTAGATCAGAAATGCGAGTGGGCTATTTTGTTATTAAGCTAAAACATAAGGTCTTTTGAGTGAATAAATAAATCTACCTGCAATCCTCTTCTACCCAATTGTTTTACAGCAACGTCGATTTTCTTCGATGGATCTTCAGAGCTCCTAATCACACCTTTAAAGACACATCCAAATCCCCCTTCTCCGAGTTTAGCCGTTCGGCTGAAGTTTTTGGTCGCTTGTTTAAGTTCGGAAAAGGTAAAATCTTTGAGATTACTGCTCCTTTCGGACATATTGGGAAACTGATTACGGCCCCTTGACTCAGAGCTTGTGTCTGATGCATTTTGAGAATTTAATTCAGATCCGAATTGCCTTACTTCATGATCAGCAAATGAAGAAAGACCCGAATTTGGCTTCGTGGTGGATTTTTGGTCTTCTTTTTTATCTCCAATATGAAATTGGAAACACTTCATTGTCTACACACACTGAAAATGTAGCAAAAAATGCAGCAAATATAAATCGAATCATCATTAATTCATATATCTAACTCCATAGCATCCACAGAAAAGTTTTAGGCTTTAGCCTGGATTATAAAGAACACATAATATTGAAAACATCAAATTCAGTAAATTTTGAAATCTATTCAAATATTGAGAGGACTTTACACATAATCAGTATAATAGAATTTCGAGTAAGCTAAAACAGATGTCTTCAGATGGAATCGATTATCTATTAATACAGAGCTAATTAACTCCAAATTTCCAAGCTCACAATAGCATGAAACTACCATACCTACTTTTCCAAGCTAATAAAAATTCCACCTTTATTTGTTTGTCCACAAAGAAAAAGTTCTAATCATATTAAATTTCAACAACAAGAGGCATTAGATTTAGATACCCATATATTCTTCACTTCGAGACAACCAAAAAAGTTAAAAAAAACGGATCAAATGCCGAATTCTACCAGCAGAAAATCATAGTGAAGATGCCAAATATGTAAAAGACTTACTCAATTTAAAGATTTAAAACTTTTTCAAGCTTTCATAACATATCAAGAAAAAATAAATAAAAATCTTAATGGTTTTCAAATAAATTATCATGTGGGTTTTTATCCTTTTCAAGATCTTACCTTTTTTCTAACCTGGGAAGAACTTGAACTTGTTCTTGATCCTTTGTTTTACCAACAAAAAAACCCAATACTAAAATCTGCTCTAAAACGATTCAATTACCAAAAAAATGGAAGAACTTGAACTTGTTCTTGATCCTTCGTGGTACCCACAAAAACTCAATACTAAAATCTGCTCTAAAAGTCTGCAATTACCTAAAAAAGAGAAGTATTGCACACGGCAACAACCACCCATCCAAGTCACACCGCAAATATATATATGAAAACAATAATAGAAAAATGCTAAAAACAGCCACAAAACATTAAATGTACGAAATTTGCAAAAATTACGATGAGAGATTTCACAGTTTACGGTTTACTAGCTGTTGAAGACATTCAGGAAGTCAAGTGTGACGGCGGCCTTTCGAACAAATGGGATTAAAAAGAGATGAGAGTAAGATCTTTGAAGGGGAAAAACGAAAGAAAAAGGTCGAATCTTTATTCTGCCAAGAAGACTTTAGACTTGGTCATACATATCTAATGGCCAAAGGCACGATAGTTATTAAATTATATGTCCGAATATTTTGACTGGCTTATTTTAGTCCATATGGACCATATCTAACAAATTATTGTTTTTATTAGTTAAGTTCTTATGTGTGGCGTAGAATACAATAAAATAAATTTATCTAGATCATGGTGTTTATGTGACATAATTTTGAATTTAAGATTTATGATTTATTTAGGTGCAGGAATTTTGGACTGTTTGCAAACCACACACTCGTGAATAAGAATATAGAATAAAGGAAATGGGGAACCATAATTCTATCATTATAAGAAGATATTATTGTTAAGTGGTATAATAATTAGCCTTAGTCATAGGGTAATGATAAGAGAATGTAGAACTGTAATTTAATATGTCACGAGTTTTAAATTATAATGTTGTAATTTGACATGTTACATTTTTTCGAAATTAGTTAAAATTTAGTTTTACAAGTTATTAAGAATATGACTAACAATTTATAAAAATTATTTTTTTTCGCCAAATAAAGTACGTGCCCTTTTTAATTATACAATAGTTCAATATTATACATGACTGACAATTACATAAGTATATTTTTCTATGGACATGCAAACTATTAAATTAGAATATCATAACTAATAAAATATATTAATATTTACAATATAAGTATGTATTATAATTAAAAAAAAATGTATAACTGTAATTTAATATGTCACACCTTTTAAATTATATTGTTGTAATTTAACATGTTACGTTTTTCGAAATTAGTCAACTATTATTTTTACAAGTTATTCAAAGTATGACTAACAGTTCATAAAAAGATATATATTTTTTAAATAAAGTATATTTTCCTGTTTAGTTATACAATAGTTCAATACTATACATAGTTCAATAGTATACATGCATGACGATTACATGACTATATTTTTTTATGGATATACATACTTTTAAATTATAATATCATACTTTAATAAAAGATAAAAATAAAAATAAATAATTTTTACAATATAAATATGTACTACCTCTTATTCTTTTTAAATGTCATTTTGACTTTATCAACTATTAACCAAAATAAATGTCGTTTTGGATTTTTGTACATACTTTTCTATTATTATTCTCATCTAGTTAATTAATATATTACGTCTTTTCATATTATCTTCATCTTTTTTTAAAACATCCATCTCTATCTTCATTAATGAGGGTTATTATTGGCAAAAAAATTATTCTTAATTAGTGTGCAACTTCCCAAACTACACTTATGAAAAGACATGTGTAATGGTTAGGTTGTCTTACACAAAATTTGTGACAATACCATGAGTGTGTTTGTTTAAGTACCACAAGTTAACTTATCGCTTATTTAGTTAGCTTATAAGTTTTATATATTGAAATAAGTTTGAATTATGTTGGTAAAGCTAACTGAACAACTAACTTATAGTTGATAACTAAATTTTGAGCTTTATAACTGATAGTTTAAGGCTGCAAAGTTAATTAATGGTGCATTAAAATGTACGATAAATTAGTTAATAATTCAAATGAAATGAAAATTTTAAAAGACATTCTAAAATGTTATCTAAGGAAGGTTAAGATATAAGCTATAGCTTTTAAAAAAAGTCAATCATGTCAGCCCAAACTTATTTAAATATACATATTGAAATTTTGTTTATAGGAATTTTTAGTTTTGTTTGGATTTTTTAGTTTGGTTTAGTTAATTTTGAAAAAAATTGTATGATTAGTTGTTAGTGGGTATATTAAAATAATATTTAAAATAAAATAATTAAAACTGATTTAATAAAAAAATAGAAGATAGATGATTTGAAGTGATGATTAGTTAAAATAATGTGAATGGATAAATAGTGAATTGAGGTTGATGTGGTGTGTATGAATGATTGATATTATTTAATTATATTGATAATATTGAGAATAGTGGAGTTGAGTTAAAAAAAATAGTTGTTTTAAAATGTAAGAAATTTTTTGAAAATTACCATAAACAAACATGCTCAATTTTGTAATTTTCTATAGTACTAAAACTAATTTTGCAATAATGTGTGGTACATTTTGTAATATAAAAGTAAATAGTGTCCTTCGTTATGCTATTTCAAAAGTTTTTCTCTGTACATTCATTCACTCGACGACAACATGACGACTCAACTGCATCATTGAGTCTGCATCATCGATCATTAATGGCAGCTCTAAAAATGGCAAAAAAATTGCATCCAAATTTCGCGCCATCAATTTCTCCCCGCCAATTCTTTCTCCTAATCACCATGGGAGCTCATTCTCAGCTCAGCAAATCATTCTCCCATCCCACTTGCAGACCAAAAGAAAAAAAAAAAAGAAAAAAAGAAATCGACCGAAAAAGCTTGCGTTTTTTGGCTCCTCAATCAAACCCCAGGCGGCGCCACCACCCTCCATCGTTTGAGAAATAATGGTGAGGGAGCTGAACATCAATCTTTTATCGGAAATGGGCGTTTGAATCTGCTAGCGAGGAAGTTTGAGCTGGCAGCAGGCTTTGAACCGAGGTCCGATTCTCGGACAACGACATCTGGTGGCTGTGTATATGAGTTAGGTTGAAATTGAATCAGTTTCAAGTCTTATTCGGTTCTTTGCATTTCTTTGTAATCTTTGCTCAACTGAACAGATGCAATGAAGAGGATTTGCACAGCAGCTGAAAGGATGTTCTATTTTTTCTAGTTTTATGGATACAAAATCAGCCGATGCCTCAGCCTCACTCCTAAAACCGAACAGAAACTGTAATTTGACTTCATGGGTTCCTCAAGATGAACAAGTTGATTTTAGAAACTCGGAAGGATTTTCCTGATAGTCAACCTTGTTGTGCTGGTTTTTTCTGCCCCAGAGGCCTCACTTGCATGATTCGTAAGTGGATTTACTTACTTTCTTGTTTAATAGAATTGGTCATGCTTTTCGGTTTTCACTTAATTCTTAATTTTAAAATTACCATTGTTAGTCACATGGTAGGTATTGAAACTTGAAAGTAAGTTGCTAACTTCATCCATCTAATTCACATGGTAAAATGTGAAACAGAACACTCTAATCCCTTTAAACAGTCCCTTCGATTTTATGCCAATGATCACATTCACAAATTTCTGTGGTTCAGATAACTTACATATAAAACACAAATGCTCGAGATCGGCGAATTTTTACTCGAATTCGGGTCAAAACTTACATTTCAAAAAGTCTACTAAGGGACATTTTAGGTAATTTACTACATTCAAATTCAAGGGACTCATTAACCGCTCGCGTGTAGAAACTACTAGCTTGAGTTGAATTTGAATTCGAAATATTCAAGCTTGATCAAACTCAAGCTCGAGTTAGATGTTGACTGGAGCGCTCACGAGCCACCCCTAAGCATAAACTCATATATATGTCGGTGTATATTTTCAGTAACTAAACAATTATGATAACATATAAACCAGACTTTCTTACAAGTAAAAGTCTAATGACCAATTGAATTTCCTATTAAGAATTTAAATTAAACTCCAAATGTCATTTTCGGAGTAATGATGGGTGTTACACATTGTCATTTGTCTGTTATTGAACTCCCAATATTCTTCCCAATATTCTTAATAAAGTTTTACTATTAAATAGAAGTAGCACAAACTAGCTTTAAGCTTTTGTTGAATTATGAATTATCCAAGACTTGGGTTGACTAATTGGCTGACTAATTGGTTGACTAAAGACCAACCATTTGATAAAATTTTTATATTATTATCGATGAATAAAATTAAAGGTAAAAGCCCACAAAAAAGCTGTCACAGTCACAGTGGCAAATAATCTGCTCCACACTAACGGCGGACGCCAAACCTCGTATTCCATTACAACTTTGTAAAACCTTTCGATTCCGTCGATAAATTTTGTTACTTTTTACAGTACTCTATTCTTTCTCTCTCTCTCTCGCCGAGGACCGGACACAGCACGGGCGAACGGAAGTTTTAGGTTAGCATTATTTTTCATGTTAAAAATTGAATATTTTGACCTTTCGGGGTGTTTCTACCTTTCAGTTTCTGTAATTTTTGTCTAGCAATGTAATGGCTTCGTTGTTCTTATCTTACTTTATGTTGTACCTTTATTTTTGTTTAGTTTCTTGCTTTGTACCCTTTTTTTAGTGCGTGTGCACGTTTGTTGATGTTAAAATTCATGTTGAAAGAAAAAGTTCAAGGTGTGATGATAATTGAGCCCATTTCTCGATTATTATTGTTTTTAATGTGTAGATTTTACGCATGCTTTTAGAATGTGCAATTGATGTGAATTGATCATTTTTCATCGTTATCTTAGGGGAAAAGGTGTTTGTAAAAGCACAAGCGTGCAATATTTTGGAGAATTTTCAAGAAGAAAAATTGTGACGTGTTGTTGGTTTTGGCTGAAATCATTACTGTTGAAAAAGATTACCTTATTTTCTTAAATTGTCTGTAATTACCTATATCTCATCATTTTTCGGAGCACAAGGATTTGAATCCCTTTTTACTCCATTAATGGGTAATGTACTAATGTGCCTTATAGAATATCCAAAATGCAAAGTAGCCTCGTGCAATTTGATGTATCATTTATTATAAGTTGATACTGAACAAGCTTTATGCGTATCGTAAATTATAATTTTATTATACTTCTCGTATAATGAAAAAAGTATTTATCAGGTCATGGAGGATGGACCAGTAACAATTGGATTCGAAGATGGGACAATTGATGTTGATCGTCTGCTTGTAGAACCTCAAGAAGGGAATATCTCAGTTGATAGTGTCATGTGTTTTAATGAGAAGATCACAGAGAAAGCCATGGGCATGGACAATATATGTTGCAACTTTGGTACTATCTTAAAAATTAAATGGCTTGAGTAATTATATAATTTATATTGTACTTTGTGGAATGGCTTTAGGAGTAAACTGAATAAATGAAGGATATTTCCATTTTTCTTCATTTCGTTGTAGCCTGGGAAAGTTTCTGTTCTGTTCTGGTTCTTTTTTTGTGAATTTTGTTAATGAAATTGAAATCTCCTCGAGTTATTATTGTATGAATTTGTTTGACACACGTGTAATTACTTGTTTTCGTGTTTGGTTATAACCATTGCTCATAAAATTAGTAAATTTTGCAGGCGTCACAGATACTGCTGTTGCTCTGGAAAGCAAAAATATTCTGAGTCGTGATGTATGTCATAGTTGACTATTCTTCTTGTAATGTTTTAGTGTGGCAATCAATAATTAGGTTTAATTGTTGCAACTTTGTTGATTTTTTCTCCTTTTTCTTTTTTTTTGGGTGTGTATTTTGATGTTATGTGCAGGTACTTGACTCGGTTAGCAGTGAAGCCGATGTGGGATATTTTCGACTGCATAATGATTTCTGTAGCATGGGGGACGATTATCTTCTGGGTAGGCACTTTTTTTTTTTGTTTTCTTGCTTTATATTGATATGATAATCGTTGACCGAAACAAAAATAAAAAATAAAAATCAAACAATATATTATACAGGTGTTAGATTTTCCGAAAGTATCACAAACCTGGATTATGGTCCAAGCGAAGGCTTGCTGACTTCAGTTTCAGACAGTTCAGTTCTACCAAACGATCTATTTAACATCGACACCTCTGATTTCGGTGAAGTCCCGAGTCTTTGCAATGAATCTGAAATCGAAAAGCCTCCAAAGTCGCCTGTTTCATCTACACTTTCACACGATATCTACAAGCTCCATAATATTTCAAGCAATTCTTTAGAAATGTTACCGGACGAAAAAGATGATGAATTTGAGCCAAACAAATCAGAAATAAAGTCGAGTCGAGAAGAATGCAATGGTAATCTTACTACCCAAAAGAGATCACGTAGGCCCACTAAGAGGTACATCGATGAACTAGTTGACCCAATTGCTCGAATTCCAAAGAAAAGGCGGGAATTTTCGTATTCGGCTGAGAAGGACAATAAGAAATGCCGCGTGGGACCTAAAGTTTTGGGCCCATCGGCTGCTGAAGAATCGTCTGTTGTAGCAATTCAGGTACCGTTTGCATCTTTGGTGCATAAAGAATGTCCGAAGAGGAGCCGTTCACATGATATGGTGAGTTTTTATTATAGCACGATATTTTCTGGGTCATCACTTGATTATATATATATGGTTTGCTGCTGAAGAGGGTTTTGAACTTTGATACTCTCAGATAATTTTGTGTCTGGTTAATATAGTACCCTTTTTTGCTGTTGTCTAACTGATTTTTTTTTTAAAATTTATGCCTCAAAATGTAATTTTTTTGTACTACTCGACTCGTTCTCTGTGTTTGCAAATTTAAAAGTATAATGTTTTCTCTTGATGGCAGCATAAGGAAATCGGCACTTGGCATAAACGAACGCGGAGTACAGACAGAGGGCATTCAACCCTTAATTCAAAAGATAAAAAAGGAAGGGGCCATTTTATTACAGACGTTTATCCTATGAAAATCGATTATTGTCCCACATCAGCAGCAAATGAGAAGAAAAGTGAGTTTTTCCAGGCAAAGAGTCCCAAGAAAAACAGTTGTATGAAAACAGAAAATAAAATTAGAAGATACGAATATCCTAATCCAACTGAAATAAGCTCCGAGGAAGCTAGCAGCTGTCGAAAGCATCACAGTCCAACTGAAATAAGCTCCGAGGAAGCTAGCAGCTGTCGAAAGCATCACAGGCTATGGACTGTTGCAGAAGTTAAGAAATTAATCGATGGTGTGTCTGAATATGGAGTCGGGAGATGGAGCCGGATAAAGAAGCTCTCGTTTTCTGCATCTGCTCATCGAACCTCTGTGGATCTCAAGGTATTTTTTTTGTTTTTGTTTTTTGATTCTTTTTTTTTTCTCTTTATTTATATGTTTAGAATAATAAAACTTGTTTATCATTTGTTGATATGCGGTTTTTTTTATACAGGACAAATGGCGGAATCTTTTGAAAGCAAGCCATATGCAGCTAGGCAATCAACAGGTAGCTTTTCTATTTGGATAATTTTTTTGTCTAATATTTGATAGTAACCTTGATAGACAGTTAATATTCAAAAATCACAATTATACTTCATGACGTGTTTCCATTCTATGAAGTGCAATTATCGAGGAGCTGGATTATAAAGTAAAATAAACTCAAGGATGTTAATGTATTCGTTTTCCAAATACACAAGGCTAAATCTGAGGGTAATTTTACAATATATCCTGATATATTACCACTATTTCGACTCATGCAGAATTTTCTAGTTCCATTATCTGATTCACATATTAATTTCCAATCATTTAAACTAAATGAAGAAAGGCCTCAAGAAATGTTGATTCATTTAATTCAAGGCTCGTTTCGAAAGATCTGATAAAAAGTTACCGAAATTTTTTCAATGCAGGGAGAAAAAAAACGCAACATTGCCTGGCGGCCCCTGCCCAAATCCATACTGCGCCGTGTGTGTGAGCTTGCAAACATGTATCCTTATCCCAAGTGCCGAACCAAACACAGGATTACGAGTGACTCGCCCAACGGGAACACAGATATCACATTAAACAACTACAGAAGAATCTTGCAGAGTATCAATGGAAACTGATAGTTTTTTTTGTTTTGTTTTTTGGTTTATAGTATAGTCTAGGACGAATTTTACTCGTCGTGACAAGATGATGTGTGCCTGATCCTGAATGAGCGTGGATTTTTTTTTAAATGAATATTTTGGTCGGATTTTGGACAGTATTGGATTTTACGGGACGAATGGTGGTGTGAAATATATGAATGTAGGGACTTTGTGCAATAATTGTTTCTGTCTTTACCAACATCTGTTTGTAGAGAGACTGAGATGTTGAGAGAGATATATGATATTTTCAGGTGGAATTTTCTTGTTGTCCTCCGGATTTTTGTGATTTAGATTTGAATTTTTGGAAATTTGATGAACTTCCACTGGACTCTTAAAAGAACATATCTAATTGGACTAGAGTTGTTAAACGAAACAAGCCGTTCCTAAACTCGGCTTCATAATGTAGATTTTTATATAATTTGGTTTGTTAAGGTTCAAATTCGGCTTGTTAATTTAATAAACGAATCCAAATAAATCTCAGCCCGAATTCTAGTATCAATAACTTGAGTTGAGTTCAATTCGTTTACAACTCTAGATTGCACCCAATATTTTTTTTTTTTTTCTTCAAAGATACTATCATGGATTCAAACATTTCCCCTAAGGAGAAGAATTGTGGATTAACATGGACTTTGACTTGATAATGTGGTTTTAGTTTATTTTCTAAAATTAATATTTTAAGTTATCTGGTATTAGGCATATATGAGCGGAGGGTCATATTTTAATGCTATTTTATGTGGAAAAAATAAAAAAGATTAGTCTTGTCTAAAATAGCTGCCTAATAAATAGTTAACTTTTTGTAAGTGTGGTTAGTTGACACCAAAGTCAACAAGAATATATATAATATGCTCATTAGACTCTGTTGGTATATATGATTGAATTGTAGTGGAGTGGATCCTTTCCAGTACAAAGCCGTAGCCCACTTTTATTAATGAACCATTTTCATTTGAATATATTTAAATTTAGAAACAAAATGTAAAATAAAAAACTAAGATGCCATAAACTATGGTTTAATAGGAGAAAACATAATCGTGGCACATACGTGTTATAGACTTTTTCTGATGACTTTTTATAATAATAGGAGTTTTGAAACTTATTATTTTTGTGTACAATGAGATAAAATTTCTGATGACTCAACAAGTGGCTGTAGTTTAGTGGTAAGAATTCCACGTTGTGGCCGTGGAGACCTGGGCTCGAATCCCAGCAGCCACAGTCTTTTCCTTATATTTTCAATTCTTGTTTTATCTTTTATTATTCTTTTTTGCAGTAACACTTTTTTAATCATAACTTGTGCATCCAGTCAAAAAACTTAATAGGAATATAACTCTTATATTTTCTTGCTAGGAAACACTAAAACGAGTCAATCTTAAAAGTTAAAAATTATGGTCAATATCTATATATATATATAATTACTAGCTCAAAACATTTAATAAAACCTATTTAATTTTACCTATGTGGCAATTTAACAATTTTCCCTCCAAAAACCGTTACATTTTGATGTATTTAATCTTTCATTTAATCATTAAATAATTAATACTCATCACTTCATAATTACAAAAATTATTTTAAATTTTTTATTAATAACAGTTGACCATATAATGTGTTGACCGTATAATGTGATTAGATGTTATTATTGTTGTTACATTTATTTTTTTTTAAAATAAAAAATATATTTGAAATTCCTAAATAAATAATAAATAATTCACAAATAAAAGATGTACCAAAATATACATTACATCCAATCAGATAAACGCAATTTAAAAAAAAATATTCCAACTCTTTTAATTGTAAATTTGGTTTGCAAAAAAGTGAAAGAAAAATAATTAATTATTATATGCATACAGACTCACAATAATTTATTTATATTTGTGCAAATGCACAGGTGGAATACTAGTTTGTTTAAATAACAAAAAGCTGATTTGGAATGAAGACTTATTTTTTCATTTTTCATTTAATATATAGTATCTTATATTCTTGATTTGTTTTCAATCAAAGTAACCAATAGAAATAGATAACAGCGTTATTTATGTATATTGAAATANCTAATATCAAATTTCGGCCTTTTAGGAAAGTCAGAAAAATGAACCCGTTCGTTCAATAATCATTGATTCCAACTTCCAAACTCTAGTCATTAACAACAAACATAGACTCAATTCAAATTCTAAGTGTAATCATGTCTCTCCAGATAAAAAAAATCCTATCCTATCATGAAAAACAAATGAGCTCAATGTAATAGGTCCAAATGCCAATTGCCAGCTAATATTAATAAATACTCCCAAAATTAATGAAGATAATTAGATATACACGTGTAACTTATACAGTATTTACTAGTCAGAACCAAAATCAAATCGAATCATTGTTCCTCCTATAAAAAATATTACTCCATTTTCAATCATTAAAAGACATCATGATATTATGCATGCAAACAACTTTCTCGTGTGGTAAATCAACTTTTTATTTCTTGTGTTAAAAAGGCCCCCAACAATTTACTAGTCATTGTATTTGTTTCACAACATTTGATGATATTTGTTCACAATACATATATATGTGTGTGTATGTGTGTGTGTGAACATGGAACAAATTTGTCTTTGGGGGTGAATCAATTGGCTGGCTTTCACAATTAATTATGCCTCCATGATATAAGTAAGACATGTCACATCAAATATTTACATGCTTATAACATATACATTTGTATATGAATACATAAAGACACGTATGGACTCGCACTACAATTTTATCTACACATCTCACAATTTTGTGATATAGAATTCAATGTGAATAGTCAAACCGTATTCATGTGCATTCAAACAAAAAGGAAAAAAAGAAGTTTACGTGTTATTTCATAGACTGCAGGTTTCNGCATCCAAATTAATTAAAGATAGAAAATAACACGAGCTGCAGTCTAAAGCCGTTAAAAGACCTTTAATATCCGTAAACACCTCAAAGAGAAGATCCAAATCCTCCGAGTTCGCAATGCCGCCAACGACTTCCAAGGAGTCTGTCAACACCGCCTGCACCTTTAAGCCTGAATCCAGGGCAAAGCGAAGACCATGACGAAGTGCTAGCGCTTCTGCTAGTAAAGGAAAAAATGAGCCTTCGATGCAAGTAGCAAAGGCTGCCTGACAAACGTCGTCTTTATCACGAAACCAGCTACCCAAACCAATTTAGGACTCGCGGACCGCCGCATCGTAAAGAAGAGTCCAACCATTAGCACACGTACCTCTGCCTTGTCAACTAGAAATCAAATCCCAACAGGGCAAATTTCCATTACCCAGTCGCCCTGATCGAGCATTATCGAACTCTTTTAACTAAGATATCCCAAAATCTCAAATCCATTCTGGACTTCTGGCCTTGAAATTTTACGGAGGCGATTACGCTCCTGCAAAATAAGCCACAAGGTAACGACAAAATTCCTAAAATCAGCACCACAATCCCCATTAAGAATAGCCAAAGATAGGGAGATAAAATCCCGTTTTCGGAGACTAGAGATAACATTCCACAATCCAACGTATTTCCATAACTTCCTTGCCAATCACATTCGAAGAAAAGATGAGTATTCGTTTCCCAACAAGCTATTCTTAATGGGGATTGTGGTGCTGATTTTAGGAATTTTGTCGTTACCTTTTGGCTTATTTGGCAGGAGCGTAATCGCCTCCGTAAGAATTTCAAGGCCAGAAGTCCGGAATGGGTTTGGAATTTTGGAATATCTTGTTTAAAAGAGTTCGATAATGCTCAATCAGGGCGACTAGGTAATGGAAATTTGTCCTATTGGGATTTGATTTCTAGTTGGCAAGGCGGAGGTACGTGTGCTAATGGTTGGACTCTTCTGTGCGATGAGGCGGTCCGCGAGTCCAAAATTGGTTTGGGTGACTAGTTTTGAAATAGATTGTAGGGCTTTGAGTCCTAACTAATGAACCATTTCCAAATAAAAGAACTAAGGACAAAAACATGTTTAGTTAAACTAAACAAACTTGTGTAGTTGTCAAAGCATAAGACAATATCAAATTCATTAATTTCCTATAGACTATTCATCATTATAGAAATGAAGCTATCAATCACCAAAATATATATATAGATTTCACCCTGATCGAAGTCGTTGGGTTTTCAGCGTTGTATTATAGCAATGAAGCTATCAATCACCCAAATATATATATAGATTTCATCTTGATTGGAGTCGTTGGGTTTTCAGCGTTGGATTAATATACACGTATTATAAATAATGAATGAAGTGTTACAAATAATGTATTAAAAGGTAATCATATGAATCGAAGATTTAGTTCTTAGGTACAAAAGAACTACAAATTGAAAAATGGAATTGCAAAATATAACAATAATGAACAAACAAATAGTGTATCTTCGATTTTGTAACACTTCAGAACAAAAGCTTCGACGAACTCGAAAGTGTATTTCTTGTATTTGTTTTCTAGCACTTTTTCTTAACCTAACGTGTCTTTCTTGTACATATTTATTTTCAATCACATTTCATAAAATTATTTGCTGCAATTGTAAACATGTTGAGTAGGTCAGAAATAGATTAGTAATAAAGATAATTGCAAAATTTTGTTGCAATTTCTAGAATGAGTGAAGGATAAAGTTATGTGCCTACATAAAGAAATAATAATGCACGCGGTACGGCCAGTACTCACTTCTACTCACCAACTGCATAATTATTAGATTATCACAAGAGTTCCACATTCAATATCAAAGACTTGTAAGGGCCAAAAAGATATGTGTAATTTAAGTAATACTAGCCTAACAATAATAAAAAAAATTATTTCAATTTAAAAAACGGTGAGGGTGTTAATGTTAAATAGATCTAACAGTTACTCAACGATATTTCTTTTAAACAAATATCCGTATTTTTAAATTGAACGGTTCATACTTTAAATATAAATATAAATATAAATATATAATTTCATAACATATATATGCATGTATTTTTTGACAAAAATATATTTTGCGTTGAGCTGTTTAATGGTTAGACCATCTCACACAAACATATCTGTCTGAATGAAGTTTTCAAATTCAAAAGAGAGTCTTGGATTGTGCTTCAATTTCATGTCAACTATATTAATTATACTTTCTACAAGAGGAAAAAATTAAACTACAATTTTTTTTTTTCTTTTTTAAAGAATTAATCTTTTCTGGATTATTCTAGTAATTGCCTTAATCTCAGTGGTGGCTTTGTAATTATCCAAAAGATTAATGCATATTTGTCCACTAAGTACAGTTAGCCCCATTTTCTTGGGGCACCCCTCTGACCAATCACGAACATGCACTTTCTGTCTAAGCCAAAAGGCCCAAAACAATTAATCTGATCAAAATAATAGTCACATAAATTTTTACTGTTTTCCACAAACCACTAGAGTTTTTAAACGAAATATAATCTCGGCTCGTCTCGTTTGATGAACGAGCCAGTTCGAGTTCGACTTGGTATATAAGGCTCGAAAATAAGAATCTTAATATAATTTTCTATAAATTTAGCTCATTAATATTTGAGTTTGGCTCGAATTCGATTTGCTAATCAATATTAACGAACTGAGTTTAAATTCATTTAACTATCGACTAGGCTTGATAAAAAAACTCAATGTCAAGTATACTATTTTCCACAAACCACTAGAGCTTTTAAACAAAATATAATCTCGGCTAGTCTCGTTTGATGAACGAGGCAACTCGAGCTCAAACTCTGCTGATTTACACCAATCACTCACTGTATAAATTGGCATCAGGGCACCAGCACAACACATGAGACATGACCATGAAAATCATGCAATAGCTTTTTTACTATGCAATAATTTTTAACAATATCTCAAGTAATATTGCACTTTGCCCAAGAAGCATTATCTTCCCCATCCCTTTTTCATATCTCTTATCTTCGAAAGATCACAGAGAGAGAAAGACATATGATGCTAATCATTATTCCATTCTCAAGTTAAAAAATAAAATAAAAAAAGTCACATTTATCTAAATAAATCATGAGATGCATAGTTCGTACAAATTTCTATGTCTATCCAAAAATACTACAATAGAACTAAATAAAGAATAGACACATACTCTCTCACTCACACACTTATATAAACCCTTCACTCACATTCAAAAATCTCAAAACTACCCCCAAAAAAAAAAAAAAATCCAAGAATATGAACAACATTATGAATGGAAAATTCCTCAGAGCATGCAAGAAGAAGTGCCGGGCCGCGGGCTGGAAAATAGAATCTTCCGGAAGATTCCCGTGCAACAACTGCTGCAAGTGGGCCCGGTTGGCCCACGAGAACGAAAAGCCCGTCGTCCCAAAAGATGTCCCGAAGGGCCATTTGGCTGTTTATGTGGGCGAAAACCGAACGAGACACGTCATCAAAGTCACCTTGCTCAAGAACCCGATTTTCCAAGCCCTTCTCGAACAAGCTCGGGAGGAATACGATTATGATTACACGGCCGATTCTCGACTTTTTATCCCGTGTGACGAGAACATGTTCCTTAGCGTGGTCCAATGCGCCAGGTCACCGCCTGATTGTAGATGCCTGTGACGAACGAACGAACGAAACNGAGAGATAAGAAGATATTGTTCCAGAATGCAGAATAATTCAGGCAAAAGAAAAAAAGAAATGAAAAGAAAAAAAGAAATGAAAAGAAAAAAATGCATTTTGTTGGTATGAAATATGTGGAGCTTTATCGGTTATCCTCTGAGTCATGATCAAGAATTTTCACATAAATTTGATCAAACCTCAAGGGGCCTTTTGATAATCTTTGAAATGACCAAAAATCTCAGGAGACTTTCCTGTAACTATCTTTAGAATCGATATATGGATAACACACATAATATACCATAGTTTACTCCGCACATGTATCAATTTTCAGTAAAAGATCATTTTCAACAATGAGCATTTGATTAAGTGGCAGCTCCAAAATAGCTCGACTGTAACAACTAACAACTGATACAGATGAACATAGTACACATACCTAGTTAGGATGTAATGAAGCACGATCCAATTGTCCAGACATAGCTACAAATCTCTCGAAAAATGGCAGCATTACCAAGATAAGACTTTTACCAACAGTAAGAGATGGTTCATAACAACAACATACCCAGTATATTCCCAACAGGTTGGGGTCTGCGGGGTCAGTTGTACGCAGACCTAACCCTTGTAATTATACAAGGAGGTTGTTTCCGTAGCGACCCAAGGTGCATTGCGCCGTTTGATATTTTTTTTTTTCTAGAAACTTCACTAATAGAAGAAGCACTAGAATTTAATTAAGTCATTTTGATCTAGTCCATTATTAGCACTGTGCCAGGAGAATTGTCAACAATGACTCTTCCAGTGAAAAGTCAGAAAGACAGGTTAAAAAGAAACACTTCCTTATGAGATTAACAGTGAAAAGTCCTCAGAGATGAAACCTGATTGTTGTTACTAATATGGTGCAATGAAAGCCGAATAAGATCTGCTGACAAGACTTTCGAATATTGTAAAAATAGGAAACAGCAACAAGAGGAATACCTAAATGCTAAATACGAAGTTAATTTTCTCCATTCTAATAAATGCTGCAAATATGAATACATAATAAAGATGAAAACTCTAAGATAATGTACAGTTCTCATAAAGTCAAAGGAACTACTGTGATTTGCTGCAAATTATGAACTAGTAGAAATAAGGATACATTTTCCAACTCATGTTCGAACTTTTCTAGTTCATGTCTTTGACCACAATTCAAGATACCAAAACAAGCCCCAAATAATTCAAAATTTAAATATTCAACCAACAACAGATTCTAGCCCTGTGTTTTTCTTTTCTTTTCTTTTTTCATGCCACGTTACTGTAACTTCAAAACCATATTTTCCTGGTCGAGAAAAAAAAAAATAAGCAAATTCAGAAACAGTAACCAATATCATTCTCCACATGATTGCAACCACTACTTACAACGAAAAAATCAGTATACCAATATACCATCAAATCCAGAGAATAATAATATATGCCTATGCGTTATTTCAGCTCAATGCTCGAATGATTATAGACATGACAACAAATGCAAACAACAATTGAACTTCCGTGTCACCCTTTCATGTCAAAAACAAAAACCACGAAAACGTTACATTCCTAAATGCCAAAAGAAAGCACAAAATTGTATACACATGGTGATATGATAGTTCTTGAAGATTTACACTTTGATAATTCCCCATCATCATCAAGGTACAACAGCTTCAGTAAACGATGACATCACCAAATAATGGCGGCAAGTGCTAATTTCACAATAGTTTCAAACGAACAGCAAAAAAGCACCAAAATGGCTAAACCCTATTTAGCATCACAAACAATGCAGTTACTATGCTCGGGTACGAACTTAACCAATTCACAATGAGCATCACCTAGCAATATCAAGAAGACCTTCCAATTCCCTTCGACCAAACGTCCTCCCGAGGGCAGCATCGTCTTTCTGCCTCGCCGCAAAATAAAAGATCAGCCAAGCCACCATGAAATAAATCTCCATTAACGACTGTAAACACAATGTGAAAACCTCCCCAAATACTCTCCTCAGCATCCATCTCCCCACGGACCCACAAATGATTGCTTCAAACCAACGTATTTCAAAAGCCGGGCCGAATAATGCCGTCAATATCCTGCAACCTTCTTTCACAATCTCTCTGCCACCTCTCCTCGAGTCCACAATCGCAACCCACGAATCGACAGAAAACAATAAACCCACCAACAAATCACTCAAGAACCACATCACAATGAACCCTGCACTGTCCAATTCGTGCCCCTTTACCCACGGCGCCAAGTTGGCAAAAGGCATGAACTTCATTCTCAAGAAAACTTTAAAGAACATGTATTGATCTTCAATCTCGCCAAAGAAATATATCCCCATCAACTGAGCAAGAGCATCCCTCACGGCCCATTTCATCAGAACGAAACCCGAAAGCCTCCTCAGCCCAACATTCGACCCGTCCCAAAACGTGCGGAAAAAGGACCTGTAATTTCCGAGCAAGTGGTCCACTACTTTGAGAAAAACGACCCCGTTTGCCCAAGTGTAAGTCACGATGAATGCAAACACAACATACGCATAAGCTGCGGATAAAATCCCTGCCAAGAAGAACAAAGAAGTAGCGTCCCGGCGTCCCAATTCGAAACCTTTCATCAAGAAATCCAAATCCAAGACTGCATTGGGATCGTCCAATCTACTGCTGCTTTCCGCCGATTTGATCCCATCTTGATCCAAAACAGTAGCGTTCTTTTCAAATCCAGCCTTGAAACTGAAATCCCCAGGCTTGACAATAGCCGGGAAAGAAATCCCATTATCGATAACAGAACCGGAGAAGCCGTAGCTAGGGCTGAAGTCCGACAGAATCAGGAGAGTGGAATTTGGGAGGGACTTTGTCGAGGAAGGGCCGAAGAGGGAGCGGTCGAAATTCGAGCCCCCGGAGAAGAAATCGTCGTCGAGGGTCCCGACGCGGGAGACGTGGAGGAACCCGCCACGGCGGCGGTGGCGGTGGTGGTGGTGGTGGCCGCTGCCTCCGCCGATCCGGGCGGCGTCGTCGATCCGGGAGAGGAGCAATTTGAGGGAGGGATCCCGGTCGATTAGGGATGAGAGGTAGTGGGAGGCGCTGTGGACATTGGAGCGGAAGGTGAGGAGGAGAGTAGAGAGGAAGAGGAAAGTGAGGAGGTGGGAGCAGAAGAGCGACGTCGTCTGCTTGATGATTTGGGCGGTGGTGGTGAGGCGGATGTACGGCGGGGGCGGCGGCGGAGGAGGAGATGGAGGAGGGTTGCGGTGGTTCATGGCGGCGTGTGATGTGTGATTGGGGGGAAAGTTTGCAGGGATTTGGGATTTGGGATTTACAGTGTTTGCCGAGTCTTGGATCTTGGAGACGGGGACGAAAAGTAGAGGTAGTGTTTTGTTTGTGTGTGGCAAAGAGAACTTTTTTTTTTTACTTATTTATTTAGTTCTTTTTTTATTTATTTATTTATTTAATATTTGCTTTGTGAGAGAGGAGATTGCAATAATTGTGTGTGCCAATGATTTTAATTGAGTAACATCTACAAATTTTTATGAGGTTGGACCGATATAAATAGTCGGCCAATTATATAAATATCTGAGCTGAGCTTATTTTCATTTGTCACATTTTTTTTAAACAAATATTTAGATTTTAACTCAAACTT